CCGAAATATCTAAATATCGAGTATCCTTTAAAGACAGAACTGCGTTTTATTTTCCTATTACTCGTTTCATAAAATACTAGTTAGCAAATCTTTTCTTTATTCTCGTATTACTCTTAAATGTACGATCTAAACAGTAGAATTTACAAAATTGGTTCATAATTTTTAGCATATGGATTAGAATAAGTCAATTTTGTTGTTAGACAACTTTTCTTATAGTAATAACGTAGAATTTAATTTTTTTTCTAGATAATTTTTCAAGTGTATTAGTAGAGCGAAATGAAATACGTGAAAAAGTACTCGCTCATCTCATTTCAATGACTGTCCAACTCAAATATCTTCAAATTGAACGATTCGAATGGCTGTTACATGTTGTTCAATACGTAAGGCATTCTTTTATTTATGAATTAGGTATATTTCCGTGAATATATCTATGTTACATATAATTCATTTAAATATATTCAAATGAATGAATTGGACAGTTGAACCTTTATTTTAATAATGAGTAAATACTTTAGAGTTATTAAAGGAAGATAGTTTTCATTAACACTTATCGTTATATATCTACTTCAGTCAAAAATTGTTGGCAATGCAAAACGATCAACTGTTTTTTTCTCGTACCACTTTAAAACATCTGCTTTGATTTGACAAATCAATTCTAATCGAACAAAACAATTTACTTTTTTTTGTTGTTTTCTATTTAGATACCTGACGATCTAAGAATGAACGCATTAAATACTGTTCGATATGCTGAATTTCGTCTTCCGAGTTGTCATATAGGTAGAAGCGACGTAATACATATTGGCAAACACCTTGTGCCTTTTCTTAGCACATATATGCCTCATTTACAAACATTACGTCTTTGGCGATCAGATGATTTTCCTTGGACAACTAGTAAGTTTATTTTAAACAAATAAAATTAGTCAAGATAAAACCTTTTACTAATTGACAATAAATATTATTCTGTTTTTTTATTTTTATTATGGATTACATTTTGTCCTTTATTACCCAAAAAGTTGTTTTTACAACGATTGTTAATCAACCAGAATGAAAAATTTTCTTTTTTTGTTTGTATCAATTTCATTCACGTCTTATTTTGTTTCACTGAACAAGATTTTGTAACTATGTGACATAGACTCGATAGTTGAGAATTAATATGGAACGTTTGTAAACGCTAATTTTATCTTCGAATTCTCTAAATTGCAAACGTCGTAATTGTAGAACGGATTCATTTCCTCAGTATGTAACTGATTTTGATGATAGATTATATTATATCTTATTTATCATCATGAATCAATTATAACAAACAAAAAGAAAACTATTTTTGAATTCGAACTTTTGTATATTTTAAGAACTAATAATGTTTCATTTTCATTGTCTTTTTTCTTTATTTAAGTTCGACCAGATTATAAAGAAAGAAGATATTATGAAGCTTCAGTTCTACAATGGCGGAAGTCTCTAAAAACGCCCGAATCGATTGGTATATATATACAAATACAATGACTTCATACAAGAAAATAAATTAATAATATATTTCGATTTTTAGATCAACATGTAGCCGTCTTTGAACAAGATCTTTGTCAACTGACCGGAAAATTAAAGGACTTTATCTTTCTCGATATTTATGGCGAAATTCATTATGAAAAAGTTGAACCTTACCGGTCGATGGTTCAAGCTCGCTTTCCTGATAGTCGAATAGATGTTGAAATATCAAGATTTCGTTTGTGGCGTTAATTTCCTGTTTGTTTGTTATATGCAACAGATGTGTATTAAAGACAATTATCTAGCTAATTACTTATTATTTTTCTGCTTGTCTCTCTTTAATATTATAAATTGTAAAAGATTTACATCCAATAATGACATATTAATATTATTCTGCAAACAATATTTAGCTGTTTTTTGAAGAAATCTAATGGTGTAATTGAAGAAGAATGCAGCTTCTCCTACAAACATTGGAGTCTCTAGAAAAGTTTGAAACTGTTGTCAGTGCAAATGTGTGTCTCCCTAGAGGAGACTTAAAAATGATTGAGCCCTCTCCTTCCACAATGGCCAAAAAAAAGGATTAGAGACAATCCTTTTAATTACTTCAGCTATCAACTTAATATTTTGTATACATATAGACATAATTTCGTACTGATTATCCATGTTTCCCTAGTCTCCTTTACTCGAAAAATTCCTAGAACATGAAGTTTTCGGCTTTTAAAAGCTGTGAATTAAAATAATAAAAGTAGTTGTTTCATTATAGCCGCCATGGCTGAGTGGTTACGTTGTTTGACACGTGTCCACAAGGTATCATGTTCAAACCTCGGTACTACCAGCCATGGAATGACTTTGGACAAGTCACTAACGGCTGTTTGTCCCGGATCACCCATCCGATAGCATGCTGATTACATGTGACATACACCGGGCCTTGTGCCTAGTATGTGGTTAGTCAGTATGTATGGGGAGCTTAAGCAATTAAGCGACAAGAACTCTGCGTCAGGTCGGCCTTCTGTCCAGAGCTGCAACTAGTAATATTTGTAGGAAAAGTATCGGGCTCATGAAACTGTCATTGGACAGCACTCTACACCGAAAGGTAGCCGAAAGGCAAGGGTCTTCTTCTTCTTCTTCTTCTTCTTCTATCTTTAGAGCACATAAAATTAAAAAAAATTCTTTCATTTTTTTTAAAAAGAGGGGGTACCCTTAAGAAAGGACGGGGGCGCATAAGAAGCCAAATCGGCCCATTAGGACTTTCTTTCGCTAATCTCATTAAATCATACATCAATTGAAAGAACACATTGAAATTAGCATTTTGACACTATTTGCACAGAGTTTCGATAGAACTTTCGAAGAAAAAAACTATTAACAAAGTAAGACATTTTTACTCATTTATGCAATAATCGACCCTATCATAGTTGACCCAGCTGTGCAATAAATTAATTAAAAGGATAGTTCTAAAATGAGCTATTTGGTAGCTTTTTTAAAGGCTTTCAATCCTGTATATGAATCAACAACTGATTGTTCCATTTACCGGTAAGGAGGATTGCAATACTGGTGGACACTGTTGATATAAATCGAATATTTGCTATCAACTTTTATCTTTCAAGAAATATTTTCCGAGAAAAATGGAAGGTACCAAAATTCTGGTATTACTCGTTAGAAAGCCCTTTTCAAAAGCTACAAAACTATATATTTTCTAAAGTCTAAAAAGTT